TACAAGAATTTCTTACCACTTGAGAAACCTACTCAAGACTTTTAATGCAATATACAAAAAGATTAAAGGAACGAATTCACCTGGAAGCTGAACAAATCAAACTGTGAATTCTTGACCAATCTTAATTCCTCTTTTCCAAGAATGTAGTGATGATGATAATTCTTCTCAAAGCATTTCACAAAATGTTTTTACTTCTTGGTTTCACAAAGAAAACTCTCCAAGAAGATCACAAAGATCAAAAGTTTATCACAAAATTCTCACATATCACTTGGCTAAGTTACTGAATGATAGAACCACTTTTATAAGGTTTTCACACCTAGATAATCGATTGTTTTTAAGGATAATCGATTATTTTGTTCTTCATGAGTTTTGAAAATCACTCAAGAACAAAATAATCGATTATTTTTCAGGATAATCGATTATTCTAGAGAGCACTTTCTAGAATAATCGATAATTTCATAGGTAATCGATTATTACAGCAAGGTTTCTCAACCTCTTGAAAAAAAAAGCTGAGATAATCGATTATAGTTAGTAATAATTGACTATTTTGAGTTAGTTTTTCAAAATTCGATTTCACACATTCAAAACCTTTCCAAGTTACTTATCATCATCATACTCACTCTTAGACAATTTGGAATTAAAATTTAACTCATGCACAAAGCACAAACATGCATAGAACATAAAATTGACCAACAAAGCAACTCAACACATAAGAACACAAAAACCACTCCTATTACATTTGGTATTCATTCATGGTCTTCATGTCTTCTTTTGGTTCATATCCCTTGTTATCATCAAAACTCTCAGAACTTGATTCACCATCCATGAATCTCAACAATCCTAATTAGTATAATTATCATTATTAATATTATTACCATCTTTTGCAAAATCAACCACCTTCTACTGGTGATAATTATAAAAATCCCCAAAATTTTCAATATCCACCATCATTTCCAATGTATCCACCACCATGTCCTATCGGTGAAAATTTTTGTAACCCACAATTCCTTATGTTTCCACTACCCCCACCCATCCCAAACATTGGTCTTACGGCTCCTTCATCCAACTCAAACCCTCCTAATAGCGAACTTCAATCACCTCTTGAATAGGATAGTATTCAACTCAATGGGAGCAATGAAAATATGTCGCAGAAAAAATCTCATGTCCCATTCAATGTCCCAAAGGATATAATTTTATTTCGATAATGATTGAATGTTTCGAAGGATCCAATTATTGGAGTTGATCAGTCATTAAGTCAATACTGGGAGCGAATAAAAGAAGCATATAACAACGATATCGAGCACAACTGATTCACAACCAAAAGTATCACTCAATTAAAGTCATGATGGAGCAAAATTCACCTTGCAGTTCAAAAGTTCATTGGTTGCTATAAACAAGTAGTAACTCAAAGGAAAAACGGATGGTCAGAGAAGGATGTTATGGCTTTCGCACATAGAATTTTCATAGAAGATTCAAAAGGTAAAAAATTTGAATTTGAGCATGCTTGGATGTTGTTGATGAATGAACCAAAATGACATTAAGAATTTATGGAAAGCTCTTCAAAAAGGAGTAAGGTGCATACTCATTGTCGTAAAACTCGGAGACACCCGTTGAAGTTGAAGAATGTGAGGGAATTTCACCAGTGTGTCGACCGATAGGACAAAAAGCAGCAAAGAGGAAGCTAAAAGGAAAAGGATAGGCAACTGCTTCGACCAATGTTGATCTAACTAGAATATAAAGTCAATTGAAAGTTAGAAATGACAACCATTCAAAACTTCTTGACTTAAAGGAGGCACAGGAAAGGCGTTTGCAAGACCAAGAGAGGCGTTTGGAGTATGAAATCATAATGAAGGACACAACTAGCATGTCTGAAGAGAAACTTCGGTGTCACGAAAAGTATTGTGCCTATCTTAAGCAAAAACATGAATTTTAAAAATTGTATTAGTTATTTAAGTGTACTTGTTTTGTTTGTGTAATGTAGCTGTTGGAAACTAGTCGTTGTAAAACTAGCCATTGGAAACTAGCCGTTATGAATCATGCTATATATTTGTGTAATGCTTTCTCATTCTCACATCTTCTATTAAGCTTACAAAATATTGTTATCTTAGTCAAACACTTTAGTTATCCATAGAATGGACTTCAACGACGACTTGGACGCACTATTGGATCAAGTCTTAGATGAATCACTTGAAGATAACACCGAGGAAGAAGTGATAAGGTTGATCCTTGAATCAATAGGAGCCAACAACACTCTTCATCGTTCACATAGAAGAAGGGTGGTACATTGTAATCAGGAGGAAGGTCATTATCGATTGTTCAATGAATATTTCTTCGACAATCTAGTGTATACAGAGACTTAGTTTTGAAGAAGGTTTCGCATGCGAAGGCGTGTGTTCTTGAGAATTGTAATAGCCCTAACCAATCACGATGAGTACTTCTGAATGAGGGTGGATGCAACACGTAGAAGAGGCCTATCACCATTACAAAAGTGCACTACTGCTCTTCTTATTTTAGCTTATTCGCATTGGTGAAAGCACTGTTGTGGAATGCTTACAACAATTTGTATCAGCTATTTGTGCAATATTCAAGGATGAGTACATAAGGAAGCCCAATAACAAAGACATAGAACGACTTCTACAAATCGGAGAAATGCGTGGCTTTCCAAGTATGTTAGGCTTAATTGATTGTATGCACTGAGAATGGAAAAATTATCCTGTTGTGTGAAAAGGTCAATTTTGTCGGGGTAATCATGCAAACCCGACAATCATTCTTGAAGCAGTTGCATCACAAGATTTGTGGATTTGACATGCTTTTTTTTATACTGTAGGGTCAAACAATGACATTACTGTGTTAAATTTTTATATTATTATTTTAAATTTAGTATGTATTTAAATTGTTATATTTTTATTTATATATTATGTAAATGTCATTGTTTTTAAATTAAAAACATATTACATATTTAGAATATTATTTTTTTTCTAAATTAAATAAAATTGTTACTTGATATGCAATAATTAAAATAAAATTTTAATTTAAATGTATCTTAATTTTAATGAAATTCAATATTAAAAAATTATAAAATATTGAGTTCCTTAGAATTGTTTGAAGAAACTCATCGTTGAAATAAAAATAGGATAAAGTTTCTTAATGCTGATGTAATACAATGAAGACCATCGGGTACATGAATTCATATACCAAACAACTAAAGAGTTGCTCCTATTGGAGATACTTTAAGAAATTTTATCTTCCTATATTTAAAAACTTTTTCATTTTCATTTTCTTTTTTTTTAAAGATTATTTTCTAATCGTAAGTTGTATTAATTATTTTTCCCCTTAAAATACTCTTACTATTTAAACAACAATTTTTTTAAAAAATAATAAATACTTGAAATTAATTAAATAAATAGATACTACTTACAGATCTGAGTTTTTTTTACTTAAATAATATTATTTTAAATTTTTTTTACCCAAATAGCAATTTTGCAAATTTATTTCTCCAACTAACATCATTTTCAGAACGGGCCGTTCCAGATTAAAAAATAACACATGGAAAATGGATCAGAACGGACCGTTCTAAAATCAAAATTAGTACATAAAAAGTGAAACCAAAATGGGCCGTTCTGACCTATCAATAATTTTTTTTTTCTATTTTCACTTATCGAATATCAAAACTCAGAAACTAACATCAAATAATTAAATTTATTGAATATTAACATTATAAATATATCTAAATAAATTTATTAAAATTCAATACAACAATAAAGATCAATGGTGGATGAAACTGATTATGTTGTTCTCTAATGTCTATCTCTGTTTTAATCCTGCTGGACTTTGGCCGACCCTTGAAAGTTCGCTTGAGTTCTGGATTTGGCCACAAAGTTGGACCAGTGTAAGTAGGCTAATAATCTTTATGTCGGAGCTCTCCAAACTGTCCTTCGTATGTCTTTCTGGAACTTGCCGCAATCATACCACATTTCATTTAGCCTTACTGTAAATTTTTCAGCGAGTCAAACTTTTCTTGAATGTTGCGTTTCTTTCAACTTTGTGGCCAAATCCAGAACTCAAGAGAACTTTCAAGGGTCGGTCAAAGTCTAGCAGGATTAGAACAGAGATGGACATTAGAGAACAACATAATCGTGTAAAAAATTGTTCCTATTGTCACATCCCTGATCACACTAGGAAGACATATCCAAATATTGGTCATGAATTCAATTTCCGCCACCATTGATCTTTATTGTTGTAATGAATTTTAAAAAATTTATTTAGTTATATTTATAATGTTAATATTCAATAAATTTAATTATTTGATGGTAGTCTTTGAATTTTGGTATTTGACAAGTAAAAATCGAAAAAAAAATTATTTGTAGGTCAGAACAGCTCGTTTTAGTTCTATTTTTTATATGTTAATTTTGATTTTAGACAAACCCGATCTGATCCATTTTCTATGTGTTATTTTTTAATCCAAAATGACCCGTTCCGATTTCAGAATGACCCGTTCTGAACGTGAACAATAAATGGTACTAGTTAGAAAAATAAATTCGCACGGTTGCTATTTGAGTAAAATTTTTTAAAATAGTATTATTTGTGTAAAATATTCTACAGATCTCTCATCTAATTTAATAATATTCCCTTTTCAAATAATAATTAATTGAGTAAGAAATAATTAAACGAAAAGAAAATAGGTTATTTTAAAAGATGTTAAAAATAATTTTGAAAAAATAATTTAAATTATTGTCAAATTTAATAAAATTAAGTAAATAAATAAATAAATAAACGCATCCAATGACCACGTTGAAGAATTACTTATTGCTTGTTTACGTTAATATTGGGTTTCATTATGTTCTAGCATTGAAAAAAAAAATGGCTCACTCCCAAGACAAAAATGATTCTTTTGTGGTTATATTGTTTTCGTGAGTCACGTTTTCTCAAAATGAATCAGTTCCACAGTTCTAAAAGTGTTTGAAAAGATGATTCAGAAATCCATCATTTGCACTCTGCCATGAATACCAAAGGCTCATTTAAAAGACTAAAAGTCACTGTCACACAATTACAGAGCTTAGAATAGGCAGTACTAAGCAATAAGTTATCATAACAAAAGCTACTTTGTTTTCCACAAAAGTTAATAATGATCATATACAATGGCAACATTTACTTTAGTTCTTTCTAGAGTAACCGATAATGAAAAATAAAATAAGAAAGGACTACAATGAATAACTTTTTTGGATGTCAGGAACTAATACGCGATCTTTGAAATCATAGCGACTAAAATGCATGGCCCTAAAACTTTAAGGCTAATATGTAGATTTACTCGTGAAGTAATAGAATCTTCAGAAGCATTGCAGGTGAGCATGTGCAAGACATGCTACACATTATTGATCCCATCACCACTGCAGGCCACATAATTTAAATTCATGCTTTTGAGCTGCTAATTATGAACGGAGAGCCATACGTCAGCCAAAAAGAAACCCCGAAATAATAACAAGACACCAATATTAATTATAACCTTTCGACCAATGGAATGATTTAAGAGAAGGAATTTAAGAAAACTTTCACCTTCTCAACAGCTTGTGAAGCACCAGACAATACTTGATTGCCTTCCCTGAGTTGTTGTAGTCGGGTGCGCAACATTTGATTATGTTCCTCTCCCTAACAAACATGGTGATCAGAGAAATGGCATACAAGACAAAAGACAATAATTCAAAGTAGGAGAGGGAAGGAGGGAGAAAAAAACAATCTCAAGACAATACAAATATTTAGTCAGTACAATACAAATATTATAAACCATTTTTCCTTCCCTCTTGATCCCCTCAATATTGGAGGGGTGGCCACTGGCCAGGATGGATTTTGGATCTACATCCCTTCACTCTTCCCAAATTTTTTTAACCAAATAGGGAAAAATTATAAAAGTACCTCACGTCAGCTCCATTACTTCCTATCCAAACACTATCTAAAGGCCTTAAGAAATCCTCAATCATTTTCAACTGGTAATGGCTTTTGTGGCTCGGCCAAATTTACTATGCAGTTTTTTTTCAAATTCAAGACACTACCTTTCAGCTCTATAAACGTATTTCCATATGATTTCAAGTTTTAGTGTCTAATAAAGTGATTTATATTCACATTCACAAGCCTTTCAGTACGGGTTTGCTCTGTATCATTAAACTGTAAGTAGAGTTGTTGACAAAGACAGTTACGCTGCAAGGAATAACTTGGCATTAGGGCCATAACAAAGTGAATAGCTGTTCCTGGAGTCCACACAATCAAGGACAAGAAACTTTTTTGTCAACTCCAATTTGAGAATGAAATGTAAATCCCCAGTTGGAAAGAAGGGATAATATGAAAATAGTGAGAGTCACTAAAAATGAAGAGTATTTTGTCCTTTCAGGGGGGGCTCAAGACGTACAATCCCTTAAACCAATGAATAAGAAAGTAGTTTTCAAGTTCACTTGCATAATAATTTGATGAGGATGAATTCAGGTAGTGTACCTACCATTTGAATCATATTCATTAAGTGTTGTATTTCATTCTTCTTTTCCATAGACAGATTCTCAGCAACATCCATTATGTTACTCCTGCATTTGTATCAATGTTTCCATATTGAGTTCAAAATAATCAACATATTGTAATCATAATGACCAATAAATATATGATAAGCAGGCAAATTGAATAAATATCGTGTTAAATTAATTAGCATAGGTCTCCAAGTATACTCTAAAGGCAAACCTCTATCGATGTAGATAAAAATGAGATTAACTATAAAGAACCTCCTGAGGTTGAGGATTAAGCTTTTAATTTGATGGCTAATACGAATGGAATTATTCAATATGACCACCTCATATTTATAATAAGAGTTTAATAGAATAGACATGTATTGTCAATAAAATGTTTTTATACCGTCATCTAATCAAAAATCATTCTTGGTATAACTTTTAAAATAATAAAAAGGAAACAAACTTGCATTACATGGTAGTTTGTTAATTAGATAATAGTGTAAAAAAATATACACTATCAGCGCATGCATTATTTATTCTTATAATAATGATAACATCCTAAAATAATAAACTACTTAAAATGCTTTTGGCAAAGTCCAAGAATACCTATCTGAAAACAAGACATCCATATCTTGTTCTTCCACAATTTCCTCTACAGCATCAAGAGTGGCTCCTGCCTACAAGAAAGATGAACTCAAAACGACAGACTAACTTGAATATGGTATAATATTGCAGCAAATGCATGCCTGTATGTCCTACATAGAAAGTACGGCAATAACAGTATCCAAGCATACATATGGCCCTTTGCTAGGCCTCCTTCTCTGCCCCACCTCATTCCCATGCATAGTTGAATGCAAGGCTTACGTATGGTTGCAATCCTAACTAAATTGCACTATGTGAATGTTGAGCAACCAGATACAAAATTCTTCAAATTCTTTTTTATTTTTTTAAAATGTTAGAATAAAACAACAGAGAGAATAATTTAAGTTATACCTGTGTTTGAAGACATACTGTCTCAAATCCATCCTGTAAAAATAAACTGAAAGAGCATTTAGAATTCATATTTTATCATAATAAAAAGTTATCGGTGCTAAAATGCTTCAAATGTGTGCAAAAATAGTTAGAGGAGATAAATAATTAAATAGGTGTTTCCCGACAAATCTATAAACGTCTGTGAGAGAGGGAAGATAAAGAAAAAGAACAAAATTACAGTTACAACTAATCATTAGCCAACCATTTTAAATGAAATAAAAGAAAAATATTAAACAACCATTGGATAACTATTTATGACAGTTTTCAAAAAAAAAACCTTAGTTTCAGATTTAGTTTATGAAGAAGACAACAACAGTTTGTTGACAAATCATACTCCTCTATATCTAAAAATAAAATGTCCACCAAACAGACCCCCGAGTTCCTAAGCCAATAAAAAGCAGAATTAGGGTAAGATACTCTAATGAACTTCTGTTGCATGTATTCAACATATGCTGACTAACACAAATTTTGAGAAAATAATTTAGTTTACTGCTCAAACCATAGAAGACAGATATCGATACTAGGTATATGAATGAAACAGTGAAACATCAGCATCAGGCTTTTAGCTTGAGAAATAGGTATGACTGAAAGGAAAAAACATTAAAAATGATATTTAGATAACATCCTTAATTGTTGTCTAAGACATCGCTTCAAGTATGTATATTTGCGATGGAATGGATTTTACATCTGACATTACTCACTTCAGCACTTATCCCAAACGTACCTCTATGTTTTGATGCAATGAAGTAATGACCTGAAACGAATGATACAAAAATGGCGATTATGATACAAATAAATGAAACTTCAAGCATTTCTTGACACTTAGCCTTTTAGAAATAGAATAAAGGAATTTATGTGCATTCAACTGACTAGCCAGCCTCACATAGTGGAATAAGACTTTTGTTGTATGTTCTTTCAGATGAAATAAGAGGAATGATACACAATTACAGGCAGTGTTGATAAAGCTTGATTTTCTAGTGATATTCATTTTTTTTTAAATTAGGAAAGTAGATACTTGAAAATAAGGATATCTATCCCAACCAGGGGCGGACCTATACCAAAGTTAGGGTGGACAGTTGCACCCTCAAATTTAATAAAATTGTAAATAATTATATTAAATTTTAATATTTTACACGTGTATTGTTAATATTTTTAAACCCCCTCCTCTTATGTTTTACTCTTACCAATTTTTTCAGTACAAATATTCATATATTTTTTTATATATGATGATGATCATCTAATATTAATTTTTAAACTATTAAATATTTAAAAATTGACAAATATTTATTTTTATAAAATTTAATCTTAAAATATCAATATATATATATATATATATTTAAAATCAATATCAATTTTACCTATGGTAAAAATCAAATTACAATATCTAAATTAAGAATTTAAAATTTAACAATTTTGAATTGACTTATCCAAATAAAACATTAAAAGAATGATGGTAATTGAAATTAATGCGATTCAAATTCTAAACCATAAATTTCTAAAATTCTTCATCCAAAATTACTATAAAAGAAAAGTTAAATTTCAACACAAGGTAAGGTGTGCGTGTGCATTCTCTGCACTTTTTAGGCATTAAGTCACATAAGGCTAGTGTGAGGGGGCATGTTAGACATAAAAACCATTTATATGCCTTCACTCAATGATTTGGGATAGTAGGTTTATGATATATATCCTGATATGTTAAAAGAAATATGCTTGATACCCCAAATGTCTTGTTAAATTTCATATCTCAATAGATGTTCCTAAGTAATCACAGTTAATGCCTTGTTCATTTTACTAATACCTTCTTTGAACCTACCTAGTATTAAGTGGCCAAGAAATATTATATAATATCTAACAACAAGGTTGCACTTGCACCAAAAGTTTTGAATGTATAACACTGACAAATTGTCAGTATAAAATCTCATCCGAGCGGAAATCAATGAAATCCAAGGGATCACTGCTCTGATTTCAAAACACAATTGATTTGGAAAATCGCATATAAAAAATGATGACCTGGATCAAACTCTTTGTCACGAGTTCCTTACCAAGCTAAAACTCGACGTAACATTCAGAAATATATTTCTAATATGAACAAATTGATATTGAGAGATCATACCTGAAGAAATAGACGATGGAGCAACTCCTTTTCATTGTTAGAGAAACTTGAAAATGCTTTAAAAAATTCCTTTACAAATCAAAAGAAACATGCATCAATATATAGCCATTTTGATATGCAAAATATTAACATAATTTCAGATTTATGCCGGTATCAATGTAAACATGTTCTGGCTATATTCTTAGTGCAAAAGCACCTGATCTGAACTAGTGGCCTAAATCTGGGTAATATTTTATTTGTCTATAAACTACAGGGATGATACCACACAATTGTGATGTGAGTTACCAATACCAACTCATCTTTAATGTACGCGTCAGCAAGTATTATTATAGAAATCCCCAATATCAACTTATCATCAATCATTTCTTTTGGTCTAGTATTGTAATTGGTAATGTTAGTTTATTGAAATAGCAACAAAACACTAATTACAAGACCAGCAACACAAAGGGAGGGTGTGGCACTAGTCCTTGTGACGTGACAATCAACAAATCTAAAGGGAACCAATGCATGAAAAATAAAACAAAAAACAGACAATACTTGTTACCCAGGTCTTTCCCAGGGAGCTGTGGTTATGTGGTACTTCTACATTTCCCCTTAGGCCAAATAGTTTCTATTAACTTAGAAGTTAAATTAAAATATTGAGGATATTCAGTTTCTGTACTCACAAATTGTTATTATTATTATTAGTAGTAGTAGTATTTTATTAGAAACAACATACAGGGTTAAAAAGTTAATATATTTTACATGCCTATATTGTTCCCCCCTTTCAGCTTTTCTACCACGACACAATTAAAAACAGCCGTCAGAGGGGAGAGAAGAAAGAACAACAAAGTGTACCTCCTTTGAGCATGAAGTGAGCAAAGATCGGAGAGAATATTTGAAAGACTTGTTCAAATTCGAGAACCTGGATCCAAATCCAGTAGAAGGCAATAGTGATGTGTTGGCACCATGTTCAGGCCTTTTCTCCATTGCCTAGAATCAATGACTATGAAGAATCATCAGACAGAAGAGAAATAAAAGCAGAAGATGGGAGGTGAAGCTCATACATGCAAATCATATGCGGTTTAAGTGTGTGAACTGTGAAGCAAAGATGTGAGCAACAATTACCTGCAACAAGTTCCTTTGAAATTTTCCGGCCTTTCTTTGAAGGGTTGAATTCTCGTTTCTCACAAATAGATGTTTCTCCTACTATGTGATGAAAGTAATAATGCAGCAACCTGAAAGATACAGCATGGTAAACATTGGAAAGCTAGATCACACAAGTGCTAGAAAAGAAGAGATTGAGAGCATGTTTGGGAGAGATTATAATCTCTCATTTCAGCTTCCTTTTGGAGAAAAAGATGTTACAAAAAAAATATTGTGCATTTGAGACAACAACTTAAATTTTTAAACAACTTTTTTTCATAAAAAATAAGCTGTTTTTATGAAGATGAAAATTTGAACCTTACGATTACTTCTCAACAGCTTTTTTCCTTTTAAGCTGATTTACAGCATAGAAATTGATTTTTTTTGTCATATCCAAAAGAAATTAAACACTTTAAAATTGCTTTTCAGCAAACTTACCCAAACAAAATTTCATTTTGATTATAATTAATTATAAAAATAATCGATTATTGAAATAATTTAATTTTCATAGGTTTTCCAAACACACCCTGAGTAGATGAAAATAAGCTCAAAATTACAAGCATATGATACTCATTTTCTAGCATTGTGAGCTACAACATTAGCAGATCTTGGAATCTTGATTACAGATCAGTTGTCAAAACATGTTTAAAGTCACATAATTACATTAGCTGAGATTCATAAACATTAAAAACTGAGTAGTACCAACATAAACAAAACAATAGCAACAAAAAAAAAAAAGCCACCTAGTTGATAGGGATTGAGATAGAATATATAAATGAATAAAAATGCATGTTAGGTATAAAGCTATTTTTTTCTTAAAATGTACGTTATTCTGTTTCTTTATCATATTTTCTCAGCCTCCAAACAGATGATATCACCAAATCAGTTACTTGATAGTGTTAACACCAAAACTGCTTTGCTAACGCCTACTGTTACTTATGTTGCAGAGGAACCATAGAACTAATTAAATTGTCAGTATCAGTAATTTGTTAAAGCATTCACTCACTCGGGATCCAAAGTCAGATATTAGGCATCAGGGTTCAAGGCTTAATATTGCATACAAATTAGAAGATTAGTTATTTAAGAATATAAGTTGAATTTATTCTTTTATCCAAAAAAAAAAAAAAAAACCACAATCCAAGATTTCGCTTCAACCCTTAGTACTTTCTCTCCTATGGCATTTAAACTCAGAATTAACAAGTTGACTGAAGAAACAAATGACATATTCATAAAAATACTGCTACAAATTTGGATTCCCTGTAATTGCCTTCTTCCTATTCTACAAAATCTATGATTATTCTGCTACACATTTCACTTAAGTGATCAGTCTTAATTCATGTTGAACTAATTGAACGTTACCACCCAGGGAGGCAATGCTTCTGATATGTGCCTCATGATGGGTTTCACACAAATCCTGATGCATGCTCAATTACCCATAGCAGAAAAATCCTATTCAGAACCCCCTATATGCCACAAAATTGTACTATGTTGAAATAAAAAAAATATACAGTCAAGACAGCACCAATTGGTTACAAAATGAAATAACTTTTCTTTTACTACGTAATAAGCACCAACAAAGGAAAATGAATCGTAACCAAGAACTTGTCTCAATTCCTGACCTCCATCTCTCTCATTTACTTGTTTAAATTTATCAGATGGGAATGCTTCACATGGTCCTCAAATAAAGCTAGCCATCTCAATTCAATCACTATTAGACTCATAAACCCCCATTGACGTTAGACATACAAAGATAACCAATATTCCTTGACAAACATCAGATAAGTAACACTTTGTCACCAGGACCTACTCCAATTGAGTTTTGCAATCCTCCTACCTGTACCCACACATTGTGATATTATCAAATGATAGTTTAAATGTTTTTACAACCAGCCCTGTAACTAGGCTAACAAACAAACCATGTACGGGTTCGGAATGGCAACCCATTACAAAATATGATCTTTCTCTCTCTATGATCTCAAGTCAGCCTAAACCTTGGGGAATCTGTGAATTACAAGCTATCCTATTGCTATGAACTATGTCTATATGATAAAAAAAAAATCACATCAACTTTCTAGTTTGATGGTGGCTAACCTTTCTAATCTGCAACTCCGGTTGGGGCTGGGGCTGGGCGGCGTGCCGGCGCAACTCCTTCAAGATTTAGGGTTCCGCAGCTCCGTGCTACTGTGGGAGATCTTTTGGACCTCTTTCAAACTTTATTCTTTTGGGCCTCTAGCATCAATGCAGCTTACATTTGAAAAAAAAAGCGGGTACTGTTGTTTTGAAAAAAAAAAGGCTAAATAATTTTTGTTTCAATTTAGTCTCATTTTTTTTTTTAGTTTCAATTTAGTCTCAAATTAATTAATTAGTTTCAATTTGATCCCTCATAAATTAATTAGTTGCAATGTAGGACTTCCGTCCAAATTATTTAAACGGAGTTAACTGTTGGCCACGTGGCATTCACGTGGATGCCACGTAGATGTATAGGTGAATGCCACGTGAATGCCAAATTTTTTGAAAACACCTGGAACCAGAACGGCCCGTTCTGGTTTCAGAATGGGCCGTTCTGGTTGCACTTTTAGTGTGTTAATTTTGCATCCGGAACGGCCCGTTCCAGATGCAAAATTAACACATTAAAAGTGAAACCAGAACGACCCATTCTGGTTTCAGAACGGTCCGTTCTGATTCCAGACTGCTAAACACAAACGGTCAATGATTATAGTTCACGGTTGTGAATCCTGGAAGGAAAAAAACCCAAGGTACAAAACATTTCAAACACTGGATTTGGTAATATTGTCAATGAAAATTGATAACTTCAATTGCTAAACAGTTGGGTTATACAGTGTATCATTAAGGACAATGCAGTGTATCAATAAAGACAATGGTAACAGATTTTATTTTATTGTTAGTCAAATTGGAGTGAACAACTTACTACCAAATTATATATATTATTAATTATATTTTAATTATCTTGTTATATCTAATATAATAAATACATTAATATTTTTTTTATATTTTTTATTGTTTAATTATTTTTTATTTTTTGGTAAAATTATCTTCATTTTTAATGAAGAAAAAATTTACTTACTTCAAGATTAAGTCTTGATAGATTTATTTTACTTAATAATTAATGTTGTATATCAAATTTTTAAAAATTTAATTGTTAAATTAAAAAGCTTTTCATGTATAGATCAAATTTATAAAAAATTTTAAAAAATTAAAAATCATATGATACTTCATTAAATTAATTCAAAATAACATATAAAATATTTTTGTTTTAAATGAGTGTAAAAATTTAGAAGACATTAAAAGAAAACAAATTAATACTTTTATTATGTTTATCCTATTAATTTTTATCATTTTATTCCTCTAATTTTAAATAATTTGTAAAAAATTCTTAAGTGACACTTAAATATTTCTTCAGACAGAAAGAGAAAAGGAAAAGTTATCACTCTATTTATAAGATAATTGTATTTTATAAAAATAAGTAATTTTAAAATTTTTACCATAAAAAAAATCCAAAGTTATTATAGTTCTGGAACAGGTCGTTCTGAATCTAGAACGGACCGTTCTGAATCCAGACGTTCTGAAACCAGAACGGGCAGTTCTTTTGTACTCGTGGTGTGTTAATTTTGCATCTGGAACGGTCCGTTCATATGCAAAATTAACATACCAAGTGTGCACCTAGAACGGCCCGTTCTGGTTCCAGGTGTTTTCAAAGAATTTGATATCCATGTGGCATCTACCTATGCATCTACGTGACATCCACGTGGCATCCACGTGGCCAACAGTTAACACCGTTAAAGAAATTTGGACGGAAGTCCCACATTGAAACCAATTAATTAAGTTGGGACCAAATTGAGACAAAAAATAAAAGTGGGACTAAATTAAAACAAATAATTATTATAAGGGACCAAAATAGGATTTTAACCAAAGAAAAAAAAGGGCTCCATGACAATTGGGCAAGAAACACAAATGAAAGATTTGAACATCATATATTTTTATTAAATTAGTTTACATGATTGAAATAAAAAATAAAACATTATAATTTATCTCATGGTGCCAATTTTATTTATAAAAGATATTATCAGTATGCTTGCTTAATTTTTGATTAATTGAAAGCCTCTTATATTGTTATAGTTGGTTATTTAAAAATTTGATAAAAATAAATTCAAAATATCATTTAAATTAAAAATTATTTTATATTTTAAGTAAAATTTATATTTGAATAGAAAACTACTCGAAATAAGTTCCAATAAATATGTGTCTCTTCTTTAAACATTTGGAGACTAGTTTTCAATTTCATGATCTGTGATGTGCATAAAAAATGGGAATCCTCTGCCATGTTACCAACGAATAAGTTCAACTGATTTAATTGTTAATAATAAAGAAAAAAAATTATATCACCGGTATCAAAAAAGCAATGCATCAAAAGAAAAAAGAAAAAAATACCACACATGCTACAAAACGGCTTCAAGAAGAACGACAACAGCATCATGAAACAATCACTTAATCACTTATATACTATTAGTATAAATTTTTTTTACATTAGTAGTCGATCAAAGACGTTAATAATACCTTTTCATCTGCTCATTTAATTAAATTAAAATAAAAATTATACTATTAACGATTCTGATTAACTGCTAATATAAATTTTTTTAATTATTTTAATGTATAGGTGATTAACTCGAAACAATTATATGAGAAAGAAACTTGAAGATCTGGAAACTAGAGGTAAGTTCTCAAAAGTTTATTACTTTGTGTACAAGGCTAATAGCCCAAACTAAACAGACATCCAGGCTCATTTGGTAGAACTAACTCCCAAATGTCTGTTTAGTTTTGAGTGAAAGAACAAAACACGCTCATTAAGTAGAATTAACACCCAAATGATAGAGTTTGAGTCTTTTTCAAAGGTGTAAAAGCCTTTTTGTTAAAAGTTCCAACCTAGAAGTTAGTAAACACCGAGAATATAAATTTTATTGTGGCATCAAATACACTGATGTTCAAAACTTGTAGGAAAATATATGGATTACAAGGAGGGGCAGTTTTCTCCAAAATTCTCATTAAACACAAGTTTCGTGTTTTTACAACGTAGCTTCCGCACCAACTTATTTTGAGAAGCTACTTAGAGAAACTTCTCAAAACAAACTATTTTTTGGCTTTTTTTAACTTGTTCTTTTTAAAAAAAAATTTAAACAAACAAGTAAAAAAATTATAATAAGTGCTTTTTTAATTAAAATAAGTGTTTTTTTCTAAAAAAAAAAGTTAACCAATCCCACCATATATGGAAAAGAAACTTAAAGATCTAGAAATTAGAGATAATAAGTTCACAATTTTTACTTGAACACTATGACACCCTCTACATGTCATAATATAATATAAAACTGAATAACTTCAATGTAATAAATAAATTCAAAGTTCACACAAGTAAAGAGAATCACATTTTAATATAAACTAGACTTAGTGAAAATATTAAATTACGAAGGAATTAAAATTAAGCTACTCAGAGTAAATAATATAAATCAAATCCTAACTAGTCCTAACTACTTCTCCTGTGTCACGTATTCTATCAAAACAAAACTCAATGTTGAGGACTAAACCTCATGACCAACATTCTCATCACCATATTGATGATTACCTGCAAAAATCACAAGAAGACAACACAAAAGAAAAGGGAGTGAGAAACATCTCACTCTAGCTCACGGGGCCAGAATGTAAATCAGTTAGCCAAACACAAATAATACACATAACGTGATATAGCATACACAATTACACATCACTATATTTAACTCATTCATAGCATAGTAACCAACAACAAATAAGATTATAATGCATATACAATGGACATAGACTATATGTTATTATGCATGTGGCGCCAATAAAACATCACATATCACACTTGTGCATTGTCGCTAGCAATACACGTAAAGTAGTCTAGGATTACATGCTGAGTCATACCCTTTGTGCATTCTCACTAGAAGGAGATACTATTAGGGTCTGATCGGGATAGTTAAGTCGCACAAGATACATCCCATGCTCACAAGAGTAGGATTGGGACTTCCAAATCGAGCTATCTGTGACACCCTTATTACCCCCAACACATATTTAAATAAATCTTGTAATTAACTAAAGAATAAAATATTCAACAATGGTAAAAAGGGTTCACATAAAACTTTCATAAATAACCAAAATAATTAAAAATGAAATTTAGAAAGTAAAACTTGAGAGTTTACAAATTATTTTCAAAAAAGAAGGTATAACTCTAAATACATATAAAAATTTCTCCTAGAATCCTCTGCCCCGATGTCACAATATCAGAGCATACCCATAACTCAATGGTTGGCATTCTAGATGTCACTCAAAGCCGGATCTTCCTCACCTAAAACATCCACAAATTATACGGTGAGAAAAGAAAACATCTATATGGAAAGAACACAAGGAAAAACACAACATAATCCATTATAACTCCTTATTGAATGAAATATTCACAAGCATTTATATATATCATAATTTATCAATCATTCATCATCTTCACATCTCAATTACATCAATCCATCACAATCCACACAAATCTTACAATTAACACTATGCCAAGGCCACGCCACAACTGACACAAGTGATACGAGTTAATTGCCTCACTCATCCCACACCATGCCAGGGGTACGCTCGTCCTTATAGCATCACTTACTCAAGGTTCATCTCATCCCTGGTCATTAGTGTGAGGAACCACAATCACATTACAATCCACACAATCTCTTGCAATTAACCCTATGCCAGGGCTGCCATATGTGACATAAGTGATGTGTGTTAATTGCCTCACTCATCCCACACCATGTCAGGGGCACGCTCGTCCTTGAAGCATCACTACTCAAGGTTCGTCTCATCCCTGGTCATTAGTGTGAGGAACCACAATCACAATCATAATCATATCCACACAACATCTCATCTCATATCTCAATTCCATATCATATACACAACAAATAAGTCCAACAAAATAAGGGTTTACACACCCCTCAAGCAATACACATCTAGATCATCAATTCTTATCAATTAATATAACAATAACATTCATAAATTAATAAAATAATAAATAGAATTATCAATTTAATATAATTTTAACATAAACGGTAAAACCCCCAATTATTCTAAAACCTAGCTCATAGACACTTTTCTACAATTTCGTTCTCTCTCCCAAATCGTCATTCTTACAAATTAAATATATATATTTCTAATCCTCAACACAT